TTGGAAAAGGAATGTAATTTTTTAATGAAATAAACAATAATTATTCTTGGAGACCAAATATCTTTTTATTTCTCATCGCCTGCATCATTATTATTATTAGTGCTGCATTCTGCCTTTTTTGTTAAAGAATTGAACATTATGATAACACCAAGTTTTAATTCCTATAGAATACCAAGCATTGGTATAGCTGGACTCTTCTCCCTCAGATCTGGCCCCCTCTTCCTCTTCAATCCGTTGCTCGTTGATGGGCCGTCATCATCATCAGCATCATCATAAGAACTACTCCATCGATCTTGGATGAAATCGAGGTTCACTCTCACTACCATTTCTGCAATACACTCGAGAATCACATTCAATTTTTTTGAAATATGGCTGGGCAATGGCAGCACAGAATCATCAGATTCTTCTTCTTCATGCCTTTTCCTCAAATCACGGTGATTTTGCACGGTCCAAAGACAGGACATCTTTGATAAGACTCCAGATATTGTCAGGTGGAAGATCAGCAAAATACGTCTCAACTAATTCTTCAAAATAGAGAGAGTACGGTGGCGTACTAATCAGATAACGCATATCGTCTATCGAAAGATCCTCCATGATTGCAACTAATGTGACCTCTCGAAAGTGCACCATTTATATCCTCTGACTCCCCACCCCTACTCTCCGTCGATATAATGAAAACTAGTGTAACGGAAATTTGGTTGCGGGAAACGATGGACGTTTCCTAGAAAAGCGTCTGCACTATCAACCGAAAAATTCTTCTTAGAAACAATTCCCTAGCAAAAATAATTTGATTTCAGAAAAATCTTATATGGGTGATCAACTGTTGACTTCTCCGGTCCATCATACGATTATGCACTGCTCTCAGCTGATGAGGTCGAGAAACTCGTACGTGTCTTCATGTAAACACCTTTACTCTAGCGATCCACNAGGCAGCATTCGGATGCCGACCCCCCACCCCCCCGTTCGCCATTCTCAGATGGGTCGTTTTGGACGTTTTTTATCCAGAACCGGCCTTACTATACTACTTTCATTATTGAAACATGTAATTCACCCAACAAAAATAGTAGCTTACAAAAATTGTACGTGACAAGTGCGATTAATAGTAAATGTTTTCGAAATGAGAGCCATCAACACTGGCGCAATAATCCAAACGTTTCCTAAAACTGTGGAATACACGTTCTAATGTTTCCTGTGGAATACCGTGAACAGTCATTTTAATGTTGTTTATCAAATTTTCGCTTGTTTTGGGCTTACTTGGGTAACAAGAATCTTTTATGTAACCCCACAGGAAATAATCACATGGATTCCAATGTGGTGAATAGAGTGGACAATCTATTCCCCCTCCACAAAATTTTGAATGTCCCAAACCAAGAACTCGACCGCGATAAACTGTATTAAGAATTTCAAAAACTTCGTGAGTACGGTGGGGAGCTGCTCCATCCTGCATAAAATAAAACCCATTGACGAGCCCTCTTTTTCTCGCATGAGGGAAGAATTTTGTTTCTAACATCCTTTTGTACTCATTGCCGGTGACGGGAGATTCGAAAAAATGTAGATAGACACCCTTCATGGAGAGAGCAGTCCAAACAGTGACTTCCTGTGGATGAGCAATTTCGTAACCAAAAAATTAGGTTTTTCAGATCCCAAAAATCTCAAATTATTTTTGTTCACGTAGTTGTCTAGCCAAAAGGGTGCCTCGTCAGAAAAAATAATTGCTGTTTGAGGCAGCTCGCCATTTTCGAACATTTGTGTCATTCTTTCACAAAATTCCTTTCGTCTCAGAATCGCCTCCTTTGTCAAACGCTGACACATCAATATTTTATATGGATGAAGTTTCAAAAAAACGTGGAGGATGCGATGCAACGTTGCTTTGGTCTATTTTAAATCTTGAGCGGCTTTCCGAATTGATGAGTTGGGATTTGCCTTAAAATACTGTTCAACTTCATCGAACTTCTCTTCTGTTGCAGCAAAGAATGAGGGACCTGGAAGAGTAGCTCTACGATCATCCAAAGTGCTGTATTCCTCAAAATTTTCAATTATTCTAGAAAAAGAATATTATCATGACTAGAAACCAACGGGATTTCTACGAAAATCTGTAATGTGCTTTGTTGTGTCACACAATCAATATGAAAAAAAATTTATTCTAACCTCCTCAAAGTGGTTTCGCTAGCAACTTTTTTGGATCCAAATTTAGTACGAAACCCCCGAAAAGCTTCACAGTATTTTTTCCCTCTCGAATAGAAGCACTCGATGAGATATCTTTTTTCTTGAATTGTCAAATCACTCATTACTGCTAACAAACTAAGGCTCCTGCTACAGTTGGAATAAAACTGACTGGCCCCTAGTAAATGTAACACAAACGTAGAGTCAAGGTTATTTTGGATGAGTCGGCAGATAAGTTTAGTTTTCACACATTCCTATGGGACACCCTGTAAACCACTTTTCGGCACATATAAGACCCGGAATCCTGATTGTTGTAATCCGAGCGACTCACTTGAAACCAAGTCGAAAATCATCTAGAATCAAGCCAACGTCGACTTGAATAAGTACTTTCTTTGGGTATGATAAAAATTTTGTAGCAAGCCATCTGTTTGAGTGTAATGTGACGGTCATACGGTAATTCGGTTATAATTTGGCTGCGATAAAAATTGACATTTTTGTTTCTGTCTGTGATCCGGACGATTAGATGACGTCAAATTCGAGTACTCTTAAATGAAAAATTGATAACTTGAGTTGAAACGTCCACCATTCAGAAGTAAATGAGACTGCAGTGTTGATTATTGATTTCATTTTACAGTATACATTTTTCCATCCAACAAAGAATCCTGGTATTACGTACACCTGGTATAAGATGTCTGGCAATAAATCCAATTACGTTCCGAAATATCTTTGGGACTTCACAGAGTGGTCACAATGCGATGCAAAATGTGGAGGAGGAACTATGATCTCAGAGGCATCTTGTATCGAGCAGCAGAACGGAATGGTTTCAGCGAGCTTTTGTGAAAAATTACCTAAGCCAGAACCAAAGACAAGAGTATGTAATGAGGATCCATGTCCCGCAAAGTAAGTTGAAAACATTTTGAAGAAGAATTTATTCCCTTCGCTCTTGTACATGAATTAACACTTCAGATGGAGAGTAAGTCAGTGGAGTCGGTGTAACGCATGTGATGGTAAAAAGGGTACGAAACATCGGAAAGTCCAGTGCGTAAAACCTGCGGCACGTCCTGGTGGTGAGGATGTCCAAACGGATTTCAAA